GCACGTTTTTCTTAAGTTGAGCCACCTAGTACGCTGGGCGTACTAGGCACGGAGGAAAAACCCTAATTAAATGAAGTGTCCCTATATAAAGAAAGAGATGGTCTCATTTTTGGCCACCTTCCTCAGTTGTTAGACCCTCTCAAACCCTAATATCCCTCCTTGAAGTTGGTGGTGGCCATGATTAGCTTGTTGTGTTCTTGTGGACTTTGGAGAGTCAAGAAGAAGCATGAAAGGGTGTGAAGTCGAAGAGCAAGCTATGGATCTGAGCTTCCTTGGGGCTAGAGCACCATTTGTAGGTATAAAGCTCCAAACTTTCCCTCTTTTTCTGTTTTGTGCATTTTAGGGTTTTTGGTCCCAAGCTTGAGACTTTATGAGTTGATACACTCCAAAGCTTAATAGCCGTCCTTTTAAGTGTATCTAATGATCAAGAACCATAAAAATGAGATCTTGATCGTGTGAATCTACCCATGCATGAGTTATGAGCATTTTGGGTTATGAAAGTAAGAGTTTTTATGTTTTGTGATCTCACCAGCCATGCAAAGGCTTAAAGTCGATAACTTTATGGAGTAAGAGATGTTAGGAAGTCCAAATCTAAGAGATAAGTCAAGGTCTTAACGGTTTAAGACCCAGAAATGTAATTAAGCAAAACTGAGAGTATGCCCAGCGTAATCCTAGTACGCCCCGCGTACTGGGCTGAGGTCCCCGATCAGATTGTGCATGCTTGAGTATGCTGAGCGTACCAAGAGAGGTACGCCCCGCGTAACCCTTCTGTGGGCTTTTGGACTAGGTGATCTTTTGGGCTTTAAGTGATGGGCCGGAATCCTTGGGCCTGCTTAGTGGAGCCTGTGATTAGAGAATTAAATTGATGTCTTGGGTCTCATGTAGGATGAGGTTGGGCCTTGGGGAAAACTCAATTATTATTGGGCCTTGGTGGGCCCAATGGGTTAGGACCGTAATGGACTGGTAGATGGTCTATCTTTAGACTTGGTAATTGAGAAATTGGACTTAGTTCCTAATTGGGTTAATTGTCGGATTTGACACAGAGTTAGAGGTCGGTGTTTGGCAAGCAGCATGATTGGAGGTTGATTCTTAGTGCCAGGTGTGTTTTCTCACTATACTGTACCCGGAAGGGTATTATTGTGTGACCGGAAGGTTGGATATGTTATGAGTTATATGCATTGTATATGATAAGTTAATCGTTTATATGTGCTATGTATGATATGCTTGATATGGGCCGGAAGGCATTATTTTATGGGCCGGAAGGCATTATGTTATGGGCCGGAAGGCGTTGTGATGTGGATCGTAAGGTTGACGTAGGTAGGACCGGAAGGTTTACCGAGTCGGGATAGAAGTCCCCTGAGACACATGGACCGGAAGGTCAGGGCCTGGAAAGGCGTATGTGCGTAAGTAGTATCTTGGGGAACTCACTAAGCATTTATGCTTACAGTTGTTGTGTTATGTGCTTCAGGTATCAGTGATGATCGCGGGAAGGCGCCGGCTTGATCAGTACACACACGAAATTTTTTATGCTATGAGATCTTGGGATTGGTATATGTTTTGAAATGAGTTCAAACAATGATGTTTTTTTTATGAATGATAAATGAATTATGTTCTTTTATAAAATGCAAAAATTATTTTGAAAATTTACGGTGTTACAAGTTGGTATCAGAGCCTTGGTTTGAGGGATTCGGATGCACCTTCGAGCGTATTTGAACTCAAAAGGAGGAATTTGAGAAATTTTCAAATGAAACTAAAATTTTCTAAAAAGAAAAAGAGGTTTTGGAAGCAAACAGAGTGGAAGGTGTGTACGGTCAGCCAGCACCCGAACGGTGAATCCCCAAAATACTCTTACATTATGTGTTATGAGTTATGATATGATATAAGATGCATGATAAAGTAGGCTAGGTAATCATATTAGGACTAGAGTGGCCTGATTTGTGATGCCTTAGCCTAGGAGATTTCTGCTACTATGAGATACTTGAGAGTGAGTACGTAGCAGTGAGGAGCTTACGAAAGGTCTACGGGAGATGAGACTATGCATAGCGAGATCAGAGTGCTTGTGATCTGGGATCCTAGGAGGAGGACTTGGGGTGAATACTGATGCGGTGTGAGCAGTAGTATAGGGCCCGTACTACCGAAGACACCGGATCAGTAAGCAGTCCAAGTAAGAATCCTTAGGGTACTAGGGAAACAAGCAGGGACGAGAGATCAAGGAGTAGTGTCATGGTTTGAATACCATGCATCGAAGCAGATTGAGAATAGACGTCATGGTCTGGGTACAATGGTCCGTAGTGAATGACGCTTGTGGTTCTCCGGTTATCCGGACATGGTTGAATATGCGGAGATTGCGCGCGATGAGGTTATAAGCCTGAGGGCCATGATTGAGCCGGAAGAGGCATCCCTTGAGAGGGAGGCCGAGAGCATTTCAAATATTTTTGGCAAGATGTCAGATGTAGTCGCAAGACTCAAAGATGAGTAGAGATGGTTACGGCTTGAGAGG